TAGGCTGCCTGTTGCATTGCCAGCAGGGGGACTGCCTGTAATGACAGGTGGTCCCCCTGCTGGCTGAAAATAAAAATAAAATAAATTAATTAAGTGTAAAAAATAAATAAATATATACTTAGATCATTCATATATATATTAATATCAAATTACACTTACACTGATACTGATTAAATATATATATAATTATTGTTATATATATTTATATATAATATAAAAAATTAAATATGTAAATACATTAAAAAATAAAATTAAAAAAATTATTTAAAAAAATTATTAAATATATAGATGTGTTATTTCGTTCTAACTGTATTGTGATATTAATATATATATATATATATTTATATCAAAATACACGTAGAACGAAATAATATATATATATATATACGTATATATCACTATATATATATACCTCTATATAAATAAAAATATTTTTAAAAAATTATATATATATACACATATAGATTCACATACGTATATATATACATATATTAATTCTACATATATATTTATGTAATTTATGTATATATATACATATATTAATTCTACATATATATTTATGTAATATTTTTACATAATTAGGTATCTTAATTATTTACAATTAGCGGGACCTGCCTGACAACCCATGCCGAAAGTAAAGGGAATTTAATTTGCTAGCACTATATTTAACCCTATGACTTTCCAAGACACCATAAAACCTGTACATGGGGGGTACTGTTCTACTCAGGAGACTTCGCTGAACACAAATATTAGTGTTTCAAAACAGTAAAATTTATTACAGCGATGATATCGCCAGTAAAAGTGCAGTTTTTTTTGCATTTTTCATGCACAAACAGCACTTACATGGACGATATTATTGCTGTGATACTTTTTGCTGTTTTGAAACACAAATATTTGTGTTCAGCGAAGTCTCCCGAGTACAACAGTACCCCTCATGTACAGGTTTTATGGTGTTTTCAAAAGTTACAGAGTCAAATATAAGGCTTGTGTTTCATTTTTTTCACATTAAAATTCGCCAGATTGGTTACGATGCCTTTGAGACCCTATGGTAGCCTAAGAATGAAAATTACCCCTATGATGGCATACCATTTGCAATAGTAGACAACCCAAGGTATTGCAAATGTGGTATGTCCAGTCTTTTCTAGTAGCCACTTAGTCACAAACACTGGCCAAATTTGGCGTTTTTTGCATTTTTCACACAAACAAATACTAACGCTAACTTTGGCCAGTGTTTGTGACCAAATGGCTACTAAAAAAGACTGGACATACCCCATTTGCAATACATTGGGTTGTCTACTATTGCAAATGGTATGCCATTATGGGTGTAAATGTCATTCCTGGGCTACTATAAAGTCCCAAAGGCAACGTAACCAATCTGGCGAATTTCAATTTCAAATGTAATGTGCTATATTTGACCCTGTAACTTCCCAAAACACCATAAAACCTGTACATAGGGGGTACTGTTTTACACGTGAGACTTTGCTAAATATAAATATGTGTATTTTATTGCAGTAAAAGCAAACAGTATTAAGACATTGACAGTTAAAATGTCATTTAGAACTAAAAAAATAAAAAAAAATCTTCTTTTCGGCAATTATTTTCATATTAAATTAAGTTTCATAGTTAAATATTTGATATAAATGAAAGCCCTGTTTCCCCTGAATAAAATGATATATAATAAGGGTGGGTGTATTTACTATGAAAGAGGTGAATTACGGTTGGACAGACATGTAGCGCAAATGACAGGTTTTGTTTACATTTTGTTTCGTTCACAACGTGTACATTTGTCTCCGTCCTTAAGGGGTTAAAATGACGACGTAATTTAGCAGGTGCTAACGAACTGTTTGGCAATATTTTCTTGCAAAGTAAACATTGTGCTTGAGGAAAATTTTTATTTCTTGTACTTGTGAATCCAAATGATATGTAGCATCGTGTGCTTTTCTTTTTAACTTTGACTTGTCACTTGTCTCTGCTATTTGACGAACAGTAGATTCAACTATTTCGGACATGTTGTCTTGATTTCTTGTTGTATATTTTTTCTCAGTTTCTATAAGTGATGAACAGTTAGACGTAGTGATACTTATATCCAAATTCTTGGTTGTTGGTTGGTAAAATAAACAAAACACTTTTCTAACCTGACCTACCTGACTGCAATGGATGCTGTTTCTTATAAAGCTCTTACAAAGAACTTAATGTAAGCAGGATTTTGAGTCAGTTATGGCGCAAAAAAGTTTCAATACCTGACTGCAAAGGATGTTTTATAAAGCACTTAGAACGTAACCATAAGCAGGATTTTGAGTCAGTCTTGGAGTATAAAAAACACTTTAGTACAGATTTCACTACCTGACTGCAAAGTATGCTGTTTTAACAGCTCTTAATTCTTTTTTTGGAATACTGTATCACAGATTTCTACAGATAGTAAGCAGAAAAAAGTATATGTAAATAGATTTAACCAACAAAAAATATGAGAAGCCCAACGCAAGTAACTTGTTTTCAGCTGCAGACTTTTAACACAATCTCTACAAAAAAATTAAAATAAATAAACCAATCCCAATGTGTCACAATGGGCACTACGCTGAAGGGCAGTTATCTATAAAGGCAGTAAAATAAATCCTTTCTCCTGTGGTCAAGAATGTGAGCTGAGCGCCTGCCTGAATGCTTACACTCTCTATCACTGAGTGGATATGAAATGGCTGACGGCGGGCGGGCTGAGAGCAGGCATGCATAATGGCACAGCCTTGTGCTCTGTTAATAAAATCTCGGCCGCGCCTTTTCTGCTGTTTCCGACCTTTCAGGAACAGCAGGGAATGACGGCCATATTGGGTGTGGCAATTCGCGGCGGAACCCCAATTTTGTTTTTGCGGAACCTTAGGGTTCCACAGAACACTGATTGGGAAACGCTGCCCCAGACTAACAAGCTAAGTTCTGTTTATTGTAGACAGGGCGTTGACTATACATTCCTACTATACATTGGTATCCTTTTTTTGTATGGCAGTGACCATCTGTTAGTATTTTATTTACCCTCCTCCCCCCCATATCCTGTAGGCTGCAAGAATGTGTGTTTCTATCTACCCTCCCTATTTCCTGTAAGCCCTTTTAAGAACTGTGTGTTAGTACCATATTAGATGATCCAATTAGGGGCATGTATAATGCTCATTTCATATACTATTGTGTCCTACCATTAAAACCTAGTCGTATTGAACCATCAACATGTCTGTGTTCAATTGGGCTGCCCAGTACTGCAGAGGTACAGACAAAACCAGTGATTGATAAATTAATAGAAGTCCATGGCAAACAAGCGATTTTAAGGAATTCTTCACCAACCTAACACAACCGTACAAGAATGGCCAAATGGTAGATCCCCAGCTGGCATAGTATTGTAAGGGTTGCATGAAAGATCGGGATCTATCTTTTTCTCCACTCTTGCGCTAGAGGGGAGGTCCAAAAAAAATCCAGGGCTCTCTCTACATTATTTCTGTCACTGGGTTTGGGTGGAGGCCACGATTGCATGCCAATCTGTTGATAGTTGGGAGTCCAAGCAGGGTCAAGGGGTCCAAGCAATCGCTTGCCAAGAGTCCAAGCAATATTAAAGACGGCCCTGAATACTACTGATATATGAATTTATGAAATGTCCGTTTAATGATTTAATTGTGTGATGCTTGAAATGTCTCATAAATAAATAAGCTTATCTCAGAGGACGAACAGGTTGTGTGTGTTTTGCATGGCAATATTTGTATTTTATTTTATGAGTTTTGCAAACTGGGGAAAAGGGTTCTACATTCTTGAATTTAAAGCAACACTCGATAATATATCCTTATGTCAGAAATAATTTGATTACCTTGTGATGTAGTAAATAAATCCCGTAACAAGCAGTGATGATTTTAATTTAAAGCAATACATTTACCATATCATTAGACCACCAGCAGGCGGAACTGTAAAATCTGATTTCTCTCTTCCAGAGGTCTTTTTTGTTTCGCAAAGACTACCAAAGATGACAATGATGCTTAGGGTCCAGTGGTCACGGTGTGCCATAGAAGGTAGATATTACTTACCTTAATTGTCCCCCTCTGCTGCTGTTATGTATACATATAGAGTATCAGAAGAGAACACTATCTGTACACTTAAAGAGAAAAGTTAATAAACGCTGAAACAAATACAGAGCAAACGTGCCAAAAAAGCATTGGTTTTCTTATGTTGCCTAATGTTCACTGTATGATGTCAACATGTTTGACAATATCTGACATTCCTAATACAAATTTAGTATAAAAAAAAAAAGTATTTGTCCCAAACGCACAGAATCTCGGAAAAGCCTTAGTAACAAATAATTATCTTTTTCATAATCTGAAGCAGCTTTTGAGCAATTAAATAGATCAGAAGATTTTTACTATCTGGATAGATTTTCTTAAAATTGTATCATATTCTTGTTCACGACAGACAATATCTGAATATTTATAATACCTGAAATCTCGTGTTCTACTTTCTCTTCGCCATATGGTATTTTCTCTTTTTATTATCCATTTGTTTATATTGTAGTGTCATTTATCTTGTCTGCACTATCTTTTGTTTATCACGTTGCTATGTATACATCCACTGTTGTTTCTGCCGAGAAATATTTTGTCTATTGAGCTGCAATAGGCATATCTGTTACCCTCTGCCTTCTCGCTTGTCATTAGATTGCATATTTTTCTCAGTTTCTCAAGTTTATATCTGTGTTTACTGGCGTGCCTCTAGAAAGGGAACACCTTCTATTTGTTGCCAGCAAATAGTTCCCCCGGGGAAACTCTTCGTTAAGCAGGTTGAGCTACTGATAAATGAGCTGAAAGGTGAGCTTTGCATTCTGCTACTACTTTACCTGTTGGGTCTTCAAAGAACTCAGCATGGAGAGACTGCTTCAGATCATCAGAATAGCTTATCGGTTTGTGCAGAAGACTTTGATTCTTTGTGCTCTTTTTCTATATGTTGTTGTGGGAAGAGTGTTCATGTTTCTGTTTCCAAAGACCATGGCATCTGTGCTGAAATCTCGCTTTGAAATGATTGGACATGACCCAAAGTTTCAGTATGAAGATTGGGGTCCTTCCATCTTCACATACAAGTTTCTGAAGTCTATTCTGCAAATCATGTGGCTTCGCCTGGAAGATGAAGCATTCCTGGGTCAGGCAGCTCCCAATGCTCCAGTTGTGGACCTCAATGGGGAAGTGCATAATTTGTTGGACTATCTTAAGGGTAAGAACAAACAATTTGTGTCCCGGTAGGAGAGCAAAGTTGCTTAAGTATCACTAGGGGAAAGTAGAATATTTTCAATGTCAAAACATCTGCCTTTCTAAAGGGACTTTAAGAAATGAGCAGCACCAATATACAAACAGTGTGCCTAGTGTTTTACAGAGCAGAGAAGAATATCAATACAGTCCTAGGCACGTCTATCTAAACACATCTTGTTAAAAATTGTTAATCTCGTTATTAAAATTGTATAGATATATGTATTTGAAGAATGCACCAAAATTCTTATTGGTAACTCTAAGCACCACAACTTTCAATCAAAGCCAGATGCATTCAACGTGTAGATGGACCTTTCGTGTTTTATATCAATTTCCAGAAAGTTAAAGACATGTCACAATGCCAATTGGGAGTCAGTATTCTCTAACATTAGGGGACATTGTTGTCCAAGAAGAAACCATCATTCTGAAGCCCTTATAAAAATGTGTGGACTTTTAATCATGTATTCTGTATCTCTTGCTGGATGATGTAGTTAAAAAAAACTTGTGGTATTTCTTTTCTAGGTCAGCGTCCTTTGGTTTTAAGTTTTGGGAGTTGTACCTGACCACCGTTCCTCTTCAAGCTTGGAGAGTTTAATAAGCTCGTCCAGGATTTCAGATCTGTGGCAGACTTTTTGATCATCTACATTGATGAGGCCCATGCAGCAGGTAGGAGATGTTACTTGGGAGAAAAAAAAATATCTTTTACATTGAAGATCTAGAGTTAGATTTAAAACAAAATTTAGCAAGAAACATTGGTATATGTCATTTTCACAAAGGAATGTGGAATGTGGTATTGTGGTTTTATTTTTTTTTAATTTTTTTGTAATTCTTCAAACAATTACAAAACCCACCACCAACTCTCTCATACGTTTTCTGAATTTATTATTTTAATGGTTTACTGCCTAGTAAGTATTTAAGTTCAGTGCACATGTTTAAAACCTGGGAGGGCATAGTTTGCAAATGTTTAAAGACCACAGGTTTTTTTTTTTTATGTTGCCGAAAAATTCTGCTGTCCTAGAATCATAGTTTAAAGAGAAAAAACAAACCCAAAACTTAGTGCGATAAACATGAATAGACTAATATAGCAGGTTTTGACAGTCCTGCCTGCAGGCTTACAGTCTAATTCTAACTCTTATGAGTTTATAAAAAGATGAATACATTTGTTATTTCCATAGACCTGGGGTGTTTTTTTGCAAAGGTAAACTTTTTTATTTACCGACACACATTAAAGGAACATTGGCACTGTCTGTGACCTCCATATGATCCCTCTCCCAGCGCTGCATTTTTTAAGTGATCCTTGGTTTGGAATAGGGCCTCCCCAGCTGAAGTTCAATGTATTTTACCCAGCAGCGTGAACACATTTTGAAGAGGTCAGCCATCGTTACCAGGTGTGCTACTGCTGTTATCTCTTTAAACACCACGGTATCTGAGCATTAACTGACCTGGCTTCTATTGAGTAAATGCACATGCGCACCATGCATTGACAGCTGATGAAACTGAAATTGAGAGCATGCTGCCGGGAAATGCAGTATAATCTTTGGTTGGACAGCCTCCTAAAGATGATAACTTTAGTTAGCATTACTCATGGAGAATGCATTAGGAGGTTGTTGCTGAAGTGGCAATTTTGTTTTTGGTCGTTTTTGGTCGTTCTTTTGCCCAAGACCTGCGCATGTGCGAGAGTACAGCATTAATGTCTATGCAGGATCCCACTCAATAGAGCTCATTTCCCTACAGCTGTCACTAGTGATGGTTGGGGGAAATGACAAGGCTTGCTGGTGGTAGCTCTGGCTAGTGTCAAGCTTGTCAGCTGGATGAAAAATACTGTTAAATGCCAACACTATAGTGCTCTCAATAACACTACGTATTGACCAAATTATTAATGGAATCGAGCAGGGTAGTAAGAGGCACAGGATAATAATAAATACCACTCCTTATACCAGTGCTTTTAACCTTCCAAACTGTTCGTACCAGCTTCCAAACCAACTACCTGGATTATACCCGTTCCAGATCTAAGTAGGTACGTGCGTTAATTTAACCATGTGGCTAGTAAGGTCAACCACAGCTTGCCCTTCGTCATCTATATGCAGACAGCAATTATTAATGTTCCGCACATACCTCCTTCAACTGCTCATAAATAGTCAAGGGCCAGCCTATTTTGGTAAAAGGCTGGCCTCATACGGGTATTCTGTTTTGCCAGGAGGTAAAGTACATCAGCAGCCTTATAATCTCAACCACCTCCTGTAAACTTATGATGCGGTTGAGCATACCTAGCACACATGCCCCCGCCAAATCTTGTGGTAATTCTGAATATGCCTTCTTACCACAAATCCAGTATACATTTTCTGGGGCTCTCCGGTTAGATGTAGCCAATAGATCAAACCATACCTCTCTTAAATTGGTGTGATTAACAAAAGGGTTGGTAGGCTCTGAGACATTTGAAGCTGACCACCAGGTAGTTTTATGGCTACTAGCATTATATGCTTTCTGCCCTAGACAAGTCAGCTCGCCTACAGGGGTGTTATACATTGGGCCTCCCCTAGCTAAGTATGCATGACCGTTTATGGATGTTTTTAATTGCCATTCTGATTTTTCCCATATGGTTGCTTGATTACTGGAGTGGGAAGGCATCTATTGCTCATTTGTCTCAGAACCAGGGTACCATACTTATATTGCTTCACATGGCCATTGGACTCCCATATTGACCCTCCACATACAAAGCAGTTATTTATATTAAGACTACTTACAATACTCTCAGCCAGATCGATGAACAGGTTTTTAACAGTGTGGGGAACTTCATCTTCAAAACTCATCTTCAAAAGAAATGTAATACCTGGTGAGTTTGGGCATTCAGGGTCTCGGTTTCAAGGCCTATATATAGGATGGCTCCTGGGTCTGTCCCTGTACCATATATTTGTAAACCGAAAAGATTCTCAAACTTGTTAATAAATTGCTGGGGGTTAGAAATTGTCATGTGTACAGGATTACACTCCATTGATTTACAATGAGGAGTAGTAGGTAACCTCTGAATTATCAGGTCTTGGTCTACTGTTTTTCCCCAGGTCGCCCAACCTACACATGACCAGTATAGGCAAAAGTTGAAGTCCCTATTTGGACAACCAGGGTCAGTAGTTATTCTACTAGGGCATAGGTATTTATCATTAAACCCATAGGTTTGTTCCCATTTAAGATAACCACATATGTTCCAAGGTTTTCCACTACCAGAAATCGCTTTGCATGCATCGAATAATAGGATGCCTCGGGAAGAAGTGGTACTTTATTTATTTATCAATGCCCCCTGAGAGTAGGCATTTGAAGAACCAGCCAGATTGTACAGGGTTGGAATTGGGGATCAAAACACTTGGGTTCACCTGAAACTGGCTGACCCACACTATAATCAGTGTCTAAGTATCTGCATTTAGACACAGATCCTTTACATACATAATGCGAGTGCCAAATGAGAGTTTGGGATATCTGGTTACCTGTTTTTGTAGTCTTAAAGGATCACTTTAGTGTCAGGAAAACAAAGTGCCCCCACCCTCATGGTCCCCCTCTTGTGGCGCTGAAGGGGTTAAAACCCCTTCAGCAGCTTACCTTTATCCGGCTCTGGTGGCATCTTCTCCCCGTCCAACGTCAGCTCCCTAGTGGAGCGGAATGCACATGCGCGGCAAGTGCCGAACGCGCATTCAAAGAGTCCATAGGAAACCATTTCTCATTGCTTTCCTATGGACACTTTGCGAGATGGATGCGAAATTCGCATCCAGCGTCGCAGATACGCCTCTAGTGGCTGTCCGGAAGACAGCCACTAGAGGCTGGATTAACCCCAAATGTAAACATAGCAGTTTCTCTGAAACTGCTATGTTTGCATCTGAAGGGTTAAAACCTGAGGGACCTGGCACCCAGACCACTTCATTGAGCTAAAGTAGTCTGGGTGACTATAGTGTCCCTTTAATACAACTATCACAGCCTTGTATGTCATCACCTTTGCATTCCGTATATTTAGCAAAAACACTAAAACACACAAAGAAATACATTATGATGGAAGTCTTCATTCATATTTTCAACTGTGCGACAGCACCTCAGCTTCCCACTTGTGAGGGCTGCAGGGAATGTTGTCCGTCTGATCCTCTCTTCCCTTCACAGAGGTCCCTTCGAGACACTCTGGCTATGAAACGTTTGTAGGTGGTCAGGCTTTATTATGGCTTTCAAAACACCTACTTGCTGCTCTCTGATATCTTTCTCATCCACTTTTTTTTTAAATCGTCTCGTACTCTTCCTTATGTCACTTTAATCAAGCTTCAGGGACTGGGTAGTTTGCTTCAACTGGATCTTACAAGGATTTTCAGGATCTGGGATAGCTTGCCAAGAATCTGCCATTGGTTTAACCCTAGAGTGATGAATCCAGGGAGTCACTTACGCCACCTTTACAGTTCACAAACTTGTCCAAATATGTCTGTCTGTTTTTCTTGGCCTTCTGTGGTATATGGTTCTGACAGAGGTTAACAGGATAATCCCCAAGCTTTAATTCAATATGTATGAGAGGACTATTACGGGCGAGTCCTGGAGGATTGTTTTCTGCCCATACTCTTGGAATGTCAAATAATGATCCATCACTCTTTGGGTTTGGGTTTACTATTGACTCCTGGAATGTCAAATAATGATCCATCACTCTTTGGGTTCGGGTTTACTATTGACTCCTGGAATGTCAAATAATGATCCATCACTCTTTGGGTTCGGGTTTACTATTGACTCCTGGAATGTCAAATAATGATCCATCACTCTTTGGGTTTGGGGTTATCACTGCAGAATACAAATGCCATTCTTCTTCTTTTGGCACCAGTACGGCTAACATACCTGGTGATTTATTAAACTGCAGGGATGTTGATCCATTGGATAGAAAATGTTATCTGTGCTTGAAGCTTTGACAATAGATCTCGTCCTAGAAGTTGAATTTGGCACTGAGGCATATATAGGAACTGATGCTGAATAAAATGGCCCCCTACTGTACAAGTACGATTCCTGAGAACGGTCCAATAGCTCCTTTACCAGTAGCTCCTATTACAGTAACAGTCTTTCCAGAGAGAGGGGCTACTAATTTGGTCACAACAGAGTGGTCAGCATCTGTATCAATCATAAAGGGACATTTCTTTCCCCCTATTGTTACTTTGACCATAGACTCTGCTCGGCTAAGGGGGTGGAGCCCGGTCTGTATCAATAGTCCTCCATGACTGTATCAGCCAGACCCACAAAGTCCCTATCATCCCTATCCCTTAGTCTCTGATTAGGGGGATAGTATCTACTTTCCTGGACGTCACCTCTGTTACTACTGTCGCTCCCTCCAAGACTTCCTCTTCCTCTATAGCCACCTCTATAACCATCTCGTCTCCTTCTCTCATCTTGTCTATAACTTGCTTTATATTCCCTCTGTGGGCAGTCGTTCTTCCCATGTCCTTCCCCTCTTCAATACGCACATTAATTTCTAACCAACTGTGGTCTGTCATTCCTAATCCCACATCCTCCCCGTGTGCCTACTCCTGTAATTGCTACAGCTAACATATCCATTTTCTTTTTCATCCTGCGTTCCTCCTCATGCTTCGTTTTAGCTTCCCTATTCATATAAACCCTGTTTGCAACTTCCATTAGCTGTGTTATGGACATCTCTGCAAATCCTAACTTTTGCAATTTCCTTTTAATGTCACTCTGGGCCTGGCTGACGAATGCCGAATTGATCATATGAGAATTCAGGGGCTTCAGAATAAAAAAAAAAAAGGGATATAAAGTCTGTATGATTCAAGCTGTCTCTCATAAAAGGCACTGGGGGGATTCATCAGTTTTTTTTAATACTTCAGCTATTCTTGACATATTTATAGCCCTTTTCCCACCTGCTTTTCATGCCTGTAATAATTATATCAGCACCATTTATATTCCAGTTAGGATCTATATTGTGGAAATGGGCAGTAGCCCAAGCCACTGGATTTGCTTGGTTTTGGGTACGGTCAGTCTCCTCAAGAGCTTTAATGGCTGCTTGGTAAATATGGGTCCTTTCCTCAGAATTAAATAGTAACTGTTGACAATCAGCTCAAGTATGCTTGTGGGTTTGTATGATCGATGTGACCAAATCAATCATAGCTTGTGGTTTTTCCATTTATGAGGGTGTGACGAAGTGCCCTTCGCCACTTGTGCCTGGAGAGGACTGCTTGCCCGCCTCTTGCCCTGTGACTATGGACCCTGGGAGATTTGGCCCGTTCAATTCAGTATGATAGGAGTTATGTATTTTTGTATCCTTTTGTGTTTTACTGGGAACATGTGCTCAATGGAGTCTGCTTCTATCCCTGGATAATTGGATTACTTTCCCCATTGTCTCCAGGCTAGAGGGCTCTGTAAAACCAGTTTGGGCCAGATAGCCATGCTGCCAGCCAGGCCCCAAAAGATACTTTACTAACTTCTGAACCCCTGGTCTGATTCATGCCATTTTTGATATGTTGTTTCCCTGAATGGATTGATTGTGAATATATAATTTTTATGTGAATGTGATGTATATTTTAGAAGTTATGAATGCTGTAAAAACTGTATTATTTCTGGCCAGCAGATAATTGAGCTTTGTGTATTGTAGAAACTCAATTATCTAGCCTGGCCCAGAGGAGGAGTTTTGTGTTGCATAAATTGTGAGTTCTGTGTGCCAGTAAATCAGTCTTGTTCCAGCATTAAGCCTTGGCTCATGTTTGGGGGATTGGAGAAATACACTCTGGGGATTGCTATAATCACTATACTCCCCAGGGTATGATCACTAAGTTCTGCTAAGAGCTTGTTCCTGCTCTCTGGGGAAAGAGAGGTTCACCCACTGGAAGCTGGAACCTGGCCTTGGGTCCAGGGTGGGTGGAGACAGCAGAGACCCCGGCGCAGTTGCATCGCTGGAAGTGGGGTCTGCAGTGCTGATGGTGTCGGTTGGAGTGCTTGGAGTCCTCAGCGAGCACTAGGAGCATCGATTGGCAGAGGTACTCAGTCGGAGTGCCAGCGGTCCGTCACAGAGGGGTTATGGGTTTTCCAAATAAACAGATCGGTAGTTGTAAAGGGAACGTATACAAACACAGGGTCTCCCAATTGCAACTGGCCATTGCCATCAATGTGTGTTGGGCCAGGAGTAAGTCGGAGGGGCATCTGTAAATGCCGGGTTGGAGGGTACCAGTAATCGTACATGTTAAAACTGGACTACGGACATTTGTAGAATATTGTGGTCTAACAAGTTCCGGTTGGGGGTCATCAGGTGGGTAGAGGAAGGCAGATCAATCATATCAGTTTGTAATTTAGTTAGGGGGATATTTCGGACAAGGCTAGGAGGGGCCCGTCCAGTAACTAAAAAAAGGTAAAAGTATATTCCAGTGTTTTATACCATTGACCATTTCGTCCAGTTGTATTTTAGACTCAGTTACCGTTACTGAAGGCAAGCAGGGCTCAGTAGTTATAGTGCTATGTCAGTGGCAATGTCATTGCTGAGAATTATCTGATTTAATGGACTCAATTACTGTTATTAAGAATTCTCCTCACAATTTTGACTGTTAATAATAAAATTGAACAATAATAAAATAAGTTAAAATACACTCCTACCAAAAGGGGCATCAGTTCAGGGTACAAAGAACTAGTGGGGGTAGGCACAGGAATAGTTGTGCCCAAGACAGATGAGCTGGTATCTGAGGTGGGTGAGTGGGTAGGTGGAGACAATGGGGCAGGAGAAGTGGAAACACCAGTTCTAGCTCGGGAGGAAGAGTAGGGAGTTGGATTCGGGGGGAGGGGTGTCCAAACTAGGTGGAGTTGAGGCCTTAGTGGACAAACAAGTTCTGGCAACCATGAGGCTGCATTGTTCCTTGTGGCATAACTTGATGCATTAGGCTGTTTTCCCAAAAATTTGCTTCCAGCAATCAATGTACGGAAACTGATCATAAAGTCCCAGCATACTTATTATAACATTGTGAACCTGCTGTATTAAATCTGGATTAAGGCTACCACAGGAGGGCCACTGGTTACCAAAACTGGCCATTCTTTGCTACACAGAGTAGATGAACCCCTAATGGGTATACCTTTCAGCTCCTGGACTCGGGATCGAATTTCATCGACGGGACACCCCAATACCCACTGCGCAGAAGACGGTCTCCTGGACAAAAGGCCAGTGGCGCCGAGATGAAAGTAAGTCAATGCAGTATCGGCCCAGGGGTGTTACCGTGGAGAGGTGGGTAAAAATATTTACCATCTCGTGGTCTCTGCAATGATTTCCCAACCAATTGCATTAGATATGCTACCGGAGAATTCCGAAGAAGCTATGCACAGAGAGTCCAGACACAGGTCAGTTCAGGAAGCAAAGGTCTTTGTTCTCACCAATCGGGTCTCAGCTGAACTCATGTTCAAAATGTCAGACCTGAGCACATGGAGTATAGGCTTTTTATAAGCTATGCATCACCCTACTATACCCTTACACCAATCAGCAAACAGGTTACACAGGATTACCTTATATGGACAGGCAACATGGCCCTTAAGGAGAATGGAATGTGGTTTCAGTTCTTGCACACGCTCAGTACATTGATGACAGTAACTAACTAACAGATACCTGTACTTGTATATGCCACATGGAGATTTTAGGCCTACTAAGTTTTGGGCATAGCTGAAATCCCATCACAGTAGTAGGCAGGGGTGCACTGGCACCAATATAGATCGTTGGGCAATAGTTACTGTGAGGTATGCCATGATGATCGCCCTGAGAATTATAGTAAAACCAGGCACATAAACGAGTGCACATGCACCCAGGTAGAGCAGTGTTTAATTGCTGCTGTAAGGTAGAACAACAGAAAAGAAAAATAATTAAAACAAAAGATACCATTAGTTAAAAAGAAAAAATAAACAACATGAGACAAACAGACCACTACTCTAGACAGTGGGGTTACTGGTTGGCTTGGGGTGTCTGCCGCTAAGAACAAAGAGGGTAATGTTGGCTATATCCCATGGACACATCTAGAAAATGGTCCACCTTGTTGTAATTTTAAAAACCATTGAAAATAATCAGTTACAAAACAGTCTCCTTTTCAATGCATGTCCTAACTAAAGATCAGACAAATCGACTGTTAAAGCCCTAAGGGATTTCCTGCATAGTCGCATTCATTATAACTCTTCTTTAGCAAAATGCGGCTACATCTATTGAAGCTTCTGCTCTTTTTTTGAGACACAGCAAAAAATTCCTAGAGTAGTATTATATCAAGCCCACGCCATAAATTTGCTGTAAGTGCAGAAGGGAGGTAGGCAAACCTATCTGACACCTATGTGAGTTTTCACATTAGGAACATGAGAGTAACAGTAAGCATCAATTACATTTTCAGGGTTATTTACTAAAGAGTGATCTGTCATGAATTCAAAGTGAATTTCAAATTTGAGGCCAGGGTAGCTTATCTGAAAACATAGAATTTTTACATTTTGATATCTCTACAAAACAGACTTATGTTTATGGCCCTATCTGACTAACAGAAGCCCCATGCAGCCACAGGTTAGTGGTGTGATCGGGGGTTTAATCTTGATTGCACCACAATCTCTATGTAGGCATCTAAATGCCTATTTAAAGAGCTGCTTGCAGGGCTGGCTTCCAGCTCATTTAAAAGTCTTGGGCCACTAAAAATGGCCTCAGCACACTAGGGAAGCTCCAGGTATCCATTGATACCTTTTGTTAGTGGTGTGAGCAGGGAGTTAAACCTGATCACACCACGATCTTTCAATATGCATTTACATGCCTATTTAAAGGGCTGTTTGCATCGCTGGCTTCCAGCACTGCAGACATCTCATCTAAAAGACAGAGATGAGCCCCTAGTATCTATTGCTACCTTAGGCTTCCTTGTGTGTACAGGGATTTCACCCTACTAACACCAAATCTGCAGTGTGTTCTATGCCACCCTAAGAGTATTTTAAGCCCACTTTGTGAAGGACAACATAGAACGTCATACCAGTGTTAAGGGGTTAAGAACCATTGGTCAGCAGCTACCATGTAAGAAATTCATGTTTCTGTACTATTGTCTATTTTTCTTTTAATTAGTGAAACATGTGGTTTATATTGTGTGCTTTGGTCTACCTGCAGATGAATGGGCCTTGAAAAACAACGTACATATTAAGAAACACCAAAGCATCCAAGATCGACTTACTGCTGCGAGGCGTCTTCTGGAGGAATCGCCGTCTTGTCCTGTGGTATTAGACTCCATGAAGAATCTGTGCAGTGCTAAATATGCAGCTCTCCCGGAGAGGCTTTACATCTTGCAAGAAGGCAAGATCACTTACAAGGTAAGGCTCCTCATTATGTTACTGCTAGATCAGAAACGTAGTAACCGTCATACCAGCATATGATATGTTGGACTATTGCTCCCCATTTCTTCATTAAAAGACCACTATAGGCACCCAGACCACTTCAGCTCAATGAAGTGGTCTGGGTGCCAGGTCCCCCTAGTTTTAACCCTGCAGCTGTAAACATGGCAGTTTCAGAGAGGTGAGGGTTAATCCAGCCTCTAGTGGCTGTCTACCTGACAGCCACTAGAGGTCGCTTCCACGATTCTCAGTGTGATAAACACACTGAGATGACGCTGATGTTCATAGGAAAGCATTGAGTAATGATTTCCTATGGGCGGTTTGAATGAGCGCCCTTGCTCTGGCAGCGCATGCACATTCGGAGCTGACGCCGGCAGGGGGAGGAGAGGTCACCAGCGCTGGATTAAGGTAAGTGGCTGAAGGGGTTTTAACCCCTTCAGCCCAGCAGGAGGGGGGCCCTGAGGGAGGGGGGGACCTAATAACCCTATAGTGCCAGGAAAACTAGTTTGTTTTCCTGGCACTATAGTGCTCCTTTAAATGTGGTTTATAAAATGATAATTTATTACTAAATGATCATTTATTACTATTCAGTAATGACAGAATAAAGTCACTTCTTATTCATAAACCTCTGTGGCTTACTACACCCACAATGCTCAGTCACTGTTTGAGGACATAAATGGTGGTTAGGCAAGATCAGCAGGAGTCACAGGCTATGGATGAGATTAGTGGATAGCACGTGTCAGTCTCCACCTTTAATTCCACTGATACAAGACTCCACCTTTAATTCCACTGATACAAGACTCCACCTTTAATTCCACTGATACTCACCATCTACCTTACCCAATACCCACATCTCACCTTATTGCCTTCGTTATTCCTTAGTTAAATACAGACATTCATTTTATAGAATAAATCTGATACAGCCTTACTTGTGATGCCCACACATAGCAACTGAGGAGAAAGAGATCTACCCATGGTCTACTGAGCTTTATCAAACCAGTATTTTACAAAATATTTTGATATACTTACATGATGTCACACTTTTATTGTACTGCAAACTGAGAAACTAATTTGAAGAAATCTTCGACACTCAAGCTGGTAAGCACTATAATTCAGTTTTTTAATATGATCTATATAGTTTGGTCCTATAATCCCATTAGACTTAATCATAAATCTCAGAGAATCTCCAAACTCACTCCTAAAGAAAACCTGGATCCACCCCAAACGTGGGTGTATCAAAGAATATAAGGTGTATAATAGGAGTTACTCCTTGCATAATCAAAAATACAAAACATTAAAAGCAATATTAAACGTATATTTCTAAATCACAATGATTTATATAGCACCAACATATTCAGTAGCACTGTACAATAGGTAAAGCAACACAAAATATTCTAACAAAAAGGTTTTACATATGGAAATAGTAGGTGAAGAGGGCTCTGCCCAAACAAGATTACAATCTGAAAGTGCATAAGCAATGAATAAATACATACATTAGCCTGACACCTATACCACTAAAACAGAATAGAGGTTGTATAAACTTTTATGTACATATGGATACAAAATAACATAAATTATTAAATGAGACATACACTGATCAGCCACAATATTAAAGCCGCACTGTCACCGTCTGTGGATCTTGCAGAATTCGGCAGTGACATTGCCGCTGGTGGTCCAGTAGCCCACGGGGGATGGGGGAGGGGGCAAGTAAATGTCTCAATGCATCTCTATGAGGAGGTGCTGACTGGCCAAAACTGCATTTGGCCTGCCCCTTGCAGATTTTAGCCAATCCAATGCTTTGGGAAAGCATTGGATTGGCTTAAAATCTGCAATTTTGATGATGCCACCAAGGGGACAGGGCCAGCGCTGTGGAGAGCTGAAAATAAGGTGAGTTTTAACCCATTCTGAAGGGGGGGAGGGGGAATTGGGGGCAAGCCACCTAAATGGTGGGTTTAACACTATAGGGAGACGAATACATGTTTTTGTTCCTGACCCTATATTGATCCTTTAATGACGTTAATCTGGGGGGAAAGCCAATACTGCACATCACTGCCAAACTGCGGTTAATTCATTGTTATGTAACAACAGGAACTGAGCAGTTACAAGCCAAATTGTGTTATGTAAAAAATGTATCTGCTTAATTTGCTCTCTGTAGGATTAACTCTAACTTTGGAGTATATTACTCGACATATCGAAACCCACCTTACACACCTCTCTCTTCCTCATTTCTTCACCTCAGTAGCTTATAAATATCACATTTAATTGAAGACTTACTATTATTAGCAGCAGTATTTATATAGTGTGATGCTTTACAATTTGAGAAAGTGGCGAGGAAGGCCCTGCTCAGTTTATAATCTAGAAAGATATGTGTATTTTATCTAAACTTACTTATTTTAGTGTTAATTAATTGCCAGATGTGAATCCAATCTTAATTGTTAAATATATACTGATGGAGCACTCCGAGCACCATAACCACTACATCGTGCGAGAGGTCTTCAGCAGGGCTCTGCGTATGAGCTGGCCTGTAGGGCACTGAACTCACATACCCACTTTAGGGGAGTGCACATCACCTCCTCTCTGGCCCCACCCCTATTATTGGGCTGTTCTGCCTTTAAATGCCCAATGTGAATTTTTGTCCCAGTCTGGCCGTGCGGACTGGATGTTTAATTGTCAGATTTCTACTATAGAAAAGGCAAAACTAACTTGTGTGTTAAGAAAATGCAGCTGAAAGTTCAAATCATGATTCAATAAATACCGCATTTACTCGACTCTAGTGCGCATCTTTTTTGGAAAATAAAGTTTCTAAAATTTGAATGCACATTAGATTCGATGGCGCATTACATTGGGGGCAAAATTTTCAATTTTCTGGCAAATTCCATTCCGTCAATTCAAACAGACAAATTCAAATAGACTAATTCAAACAAACAAATTCACACAGACGAATTCCATTCCGGTTTTCAATATAGGGTCAGGAATACATGTTTGTGTTCCTGACCCTATAGTGATCCTTTAAATGTATTTTATTCTGACGATCAGCTATAGCTCGAATAAAACAATATAATAAAATGTAACTGATTTATAGAACAGCAGTTAATTGACAACCAAATTGCAAAGATTTACGCTAAAATAACCAATCTGTGACTATAGTAGTTGGAGGTTTTTTCCAACTCTGCCGATTTCCATACATTTTTCAATTGAATTACAACTTGGTGTTTATTTATTTTGTCAAGATATAATTAAGCATAGAAAGTTGACTGGAGGCATTGACTCATCTGTGCTGTAGAATTATGAATCACTTTCTCACAAAAACCTGTAAACAATAATTACAAGGTCACGTGATTTCTGCCTTTCAACACTTGGTTGTAGATACAGAATGTTCATGTTGTAATGACATGTTATTGTCCTCATGATCTATACCATTTGGACTCTTTACAAGCGTTGATTTCGGGTGTATGAAGAGCTGTAAGAGGTCACTGGTACAACAGTCAGAGCAATTTAAGAAGATAACCTTTGCCGAAATATTCTAGTTTTTGTTATGGTGTTGTGTGAAATAAAACAATTTCTAACACAAACATCTGAGAATGAATGAGGCAAGCTGTAACATCTTAGTCCAGGTGAGACAGATGCAGCAAATAATGTAGCAAGTTCTCAATTAATAGCAGACAACAATTAAAGGACAACCGTCAACTCAAAACTATTTTTAACATAATAACCATTTCATCAAGTTTCATGATGAAATATTTTATTTTTTAAATTTATGAGAAAAACACACGCACCTTGGATCGAACAATGTGTGAAAAGAAATTTGGTTTTTTTTTACATATACTTCATGGTAGAAAAAAAAATAATCCATTCCTTTCAAAACTTGATAAATTGATTATGATGTGACGGGTGTCCTTACTATGACTCACAGAGCCCTCTAGTGGCAGTTTGAAAGATCACATAGAAGGGACACGACAAAATGTATACAAAATGTATGCATGCATATTAACAAGTAAGGGCATAGGCTGGATCCTAGGTTACTATGGATTGGTGCATGACTGTGCACAGGTTGTGGTGTGGTTTTACCGCAGTATCCCTGGAACTGAGAATGGCTCTATATCAAATAATTAAAATAAAGTTGACTCCGTTTTGCATTTTATTTTTTCACAATCTTTATTTATTCAGTCATTTATTTATACCCAGTGTTCTATAGATTTCCAGACAGAAATAAGAAAAATGTACAGCTCATCATGTTGTCCAATATGATAAGCCCTCAATTTTATCACCAACAAACTGTTCAGTATTTTGTACTTGTCTATGGCACTTGCAATAAAGTGATAGTGGAGGTATTATAGGGAAGGGAAAGAGAGCTAGAGAGAAGAGAAGAAAAAAGAAGTGGGACACATATTTTTATTTCATACTAAGAGGTGCGAAAGGTGGGATCAGTGCTTAGAAATGAATATTGGGTTGGATGTATTTCCAACCATTTTTACTCCAATGAATTGTATCTTGTTTGTCGTGCTCCAGGGCACCATAGCCCCGATACTGCCTGATTGTCACATACTGCCTCTCCTTCCACTTCATCGATCATGGTAGAAACCAAGGGCTCCAGATCTCCAGGAATGTGGTTGTCCTATCCTGGAGGGCTGCTGTCTGTTCCTCCATAGCTCAGATCTCCTCAACTCCTAATCTTCTCAACTCTAAGTTGATCAAGGACTTGGCTGCCGATAGAAGGTGATTGGCCGGTGCTTTTTTTATATTCGAAGATCGCCATTGTTCAGGACAAAATTGAACAGGTCTCTCAGAATAACCAGTATTGACTTCGGTTCATCAAAGTTTGCCAGCCTGCGGACTTGGGTACTACCACTCGTCCCTCTTTTTTCGATGTCCTCTATGTGTCTCCTGAGTTCTAAGAGTACTTGGTTTTGCCTTGCCTTGTTACCGCCATATCTTCCTGCTGCTCTCTGTGATCTTGCTGCTGTGAGGCCTCTTCCAACTGTCTCACAAGGGTATCTAACCCTCCTATAGCTGTCTGGGTGTCAACTATTTCATGCAGAATAGTTGTAGAGTCTTCTTTTGTTAGCATTGACAATGTGCAGATCTGCCTGGATTGCTTCCAATGAGGAGGCAGCGGACAAACAGGCCTGGTTTGTTGATCTTTCAGAGGCCACAGATCCTACCAAGGCTGACCGCATACCGTGTTTCTCCGAAAATAAGACCGGGTCTTATATTAATTTTAGTCACAAAAAACACACTAGGGCTTATTTTCAGGGTAGGGCTTAGAGCCAGTCTGTCAGCCGGTGTCCGCGCTGTGTAACACCCCCAGAGATCCTCACCTCCCTGTAATATTCTCCCCTCCCTCCCTCCCTGTAATACTCTCCCCCTCCCTGTAATATTCTCCCCCCCTCCCTCCCTGTACTCTCCCTCCCCTCCTCCCCCCTCCCTCCTGTAATACTCTCCCCCTCCCTGTAATACTTTCCACCCTCCCTCCCTCCCTGTAATATTCTCCCCCCTCCCAGTGTGCACTTCCTGTCAGTCCGGCCGGGTCGCGGACCGGAGAGGAGCTCGGCCACACTACAGGGAAGGGGAGGTGAGGCAGTGCGGCAGCCGTCTGAGCGCTCTCTATAGAGCGCTCAGTCGGCTGTGGCATTTAAAGGGCCGGCAGCCGCCGGCCCTGCCTAGGTCTTATTTTCGGGGTAGGGCTTATATTGTAGCCCACCCCAATAATCCAGCTAGGGCTTATTTTCGGGGTAGGGCTTATTTTCGGGAAAACACGGTAGATAACATTTTGTCTGTTGTGTGGGACCAAGGTGAGTTAGCCTGTGACATGTATGGTGCCTGTTATACCATTCCGAACCATACATCACTTCTTTTTTTAGTTCTGGGTAGCACCGTGGAGCTCATCTACTAGACATCTTGCCATCCAGGTCACGCCCCCATCAACAGTTTTGCATTTAAAAATAATCAAAGTGGTTTATTCACTAAACTCTGAATTGAAGTGAACTGAAAAGCAAATGGAAAAGCTCAGCCTGGAACAGTCAGTTTTTAATTTCAGTGACCAACAATTCAGGGCTTAGTAAATAAACCTCAAAGTGATTTACCAGAAAAGATATATTGAGATTCTATTTCATTTTCTTGTATATCCTAGTGCAGGGGTATGTAACCTTCAGCACCCCAAATGTGGTGGACTACATACCCCCTGATGCTTTAGTACATTAAGAGAGATTTAGTCATCTGAAGTGACAGTTTGCTTACCCCTGTTCGGGTGCATAGATGTTACTACCAAACACAGTACTACATATTTTATTAACTTGGGAAGAAGAAAGGATAAAGGGATACAAAGTTGAACCTGTAATGCTGTGAATTTTTAAAGATTCAATTATTAGTAGATTAACTAATTTAGCTATTTAAAGTTGCTGTAATGTCAACTAACATGCAAATCCTTACATGGCGATCATTAAATACAGTAGTGGAAAACTATACATGGTAAATACATTTTGTTGATTTGCAGAGAATCTTATATGATCTGATAGTTTTTGTATGTTATAACGTATAGTCACTGTGTAATATATTTTCTTTCTAGGGCCAGATGGGTCCCTGGGGCTACAAGCCAGAAGAAGTACGCTTTATTCTTGAAAAGATGGACTAACCCAGGCCCATGCTCAGTGTCTTTATGAACCACAGTTTCCAAACATGATCTAAATATGAACTCAGAACCAAACACCACAATTAATTTGTTTGTGATGGTTGCAGCTTAAAGCATGTCCGGCTTCTACCTGATATTGCAAGTAATTGTAGATGTTGTGTGTTCAGAGTGTCAAAAAATAAATTAAAATGTTTTAACAAAAAGTGGAATTTGCAGCCTACAGTCTGTTTTACTGAGAATCTAAGGATAATGACAACTGGTTGTAGGTAAGTAAATACTGCAATCAAGCATTGTGTTAACTCATAAGTGGCTCCGTAGCATTAGAAGATATACATGCAGGATACAAATTTAATAGCATTATATAAATATATCACTACTTAGCTTCTGGAGAAAAATGGAGAGATAAACTAGTGTATTTCTATAACAAGGCAACTGAACGAAGCAGATGCTTCAGACAGGATACCATGGTAGGAAATGTCACTGCTTGAGAAAGATCCCTTGTGGGATCGAAACGTTGCACTTTGTCCCAATAAACCTGCTGTTCAACTGATCCTTGAGTGCCAAAAGAGGGATTAAATAGCCATATGAAAATAAAAGGAACTAGGGTTATCAGGTATCCTTCGTGCATCCACGAAAATAATGGTGGGGTTTACTCTTTGAACACAAATGTAGTGGAGAGAAAATTCAAAATGTAAACTTAAGTTATTTAGAGAATTTTACAATTCTGTTATGCTATTTGGCTTACTTTTTCAATTCACTTAAATAAACCCCTTTGTAATTTCTATCCTTTCTTCCTCTCATAACAAAGTTACAACATTTTTGATGATGCTGAATGTTTTACAATTTTTTCCTCTTTCCATTCTTCCACCCGATCTACAATCCACAATTGCCCCCACACTCTACCTACCTTCGTATACGGTCTTCTTCCATCCCTAATTTTTTTTTTCTTGCCCATGGTGCACAATTTATAACTCAATAGTTCACCTCCTTGAAATATTTTCACTAATGTGTTAATTGTTGGGATGTAAGTGAAATTAAAAGTTAATTTCAAATTTTAGGGCAACAAACAGAGAGATGCTCAACTAAGAATTATGGCATACCTGTTCTTAGGGTGTAATCTCTTAGCTCACTGAAGCCTAAAACAAAAGAGAAATATATCATAGGCGGTTTGGGATTTCAGGTGGGCGGTGGTGGGTTCTGCAGAAAACAGATCAAGGCCAGCAGGGAAGATAACAGGATCCATGCAGAGCCAGCCTTGCAATAAGCCCTCTTGGGCTGGTGAGGAGATCAAAGATCTTGACTCACAAATACACATATGTACACTCAGATACACACAGTAACAGTCAGCAGACACATTCCAGCCAATCAGCCGCAGACCCTCCCTCCCAGACCCTCCCACCTCCTGGACAGCATCCATTTTACATTCATTGTGAAGCTGCATTCTTAGTGAGCTGTCCAGGAGGTGGGAAGGTCTGGGAGGGAGGGTCTGCTGCTGATTGGCTGGAATATGTCTGCTGACTGTTAGGTACAGGGTCAAAGTTTACTCAATGATGACGAATTGGGGGGCGGACCGAACAGCGCATATGTTCGCCGTCCGCAGCGAACCGTTCGGGACATCACTAGCTATAAAATTAGTTACTGCGGCACTAGTGGGCGGTAGGTATTAAAAAGTTGACTACCCCTGGTGTACATAAATATGAACATCTGTAGATCTAAAAGAAAATTACTAGGACACTCCTCAGAATTAAAAGACTATTTATTCAACAAAGATAATTTGTTTCTGTGCCAAAAACAATTATACCAAGTTTAAGGTCATTAAAGATCCAGTTTATTATAGGGTCTTAATACAAGCTATCGATATAATACAACATATAAGCATGAATAAGAAATCATTTATTTACAAATATTACATACACTTATGAAAATGAAAAATAATGTAACCACAGTTTGCAGTCCTGTCAAAAAACAAACATTCTGGTTGTCATTTTTTGCACTACTCTCCCTAAAAGACTGAGGCTGACAGGCTTCACGGTGTGACCTATTTCACAGAGTAGTCTTTTGAACACTTTGTAGATTATGTTATGATTCAGCTGAAACACTGTAGATGGCCACAAAAGGGTCATATCCGGACAAGATCACAAAGCGCAAATAAGTAGCTTGAATTCCAGAGAGCTAAAGGGGGAAAACCAGAATTAGGTCACCAGATTAAGAACAATGCACACTAAAATATAACAAAGTACAGTAAAAATGTACTCAAACATTCGTGTACAGTTGCAAGAAAAAGTATGTGAACCCTTTGGAATGATATGGATTTCTGCACAAATTGGCCATAAAATGTGATCTGATCATCATCTAAGTCACAACAATAGACAATCACAGTCTGCTTAAACTAATAACACACAAAGAATGAAATGTTGCCATGTTTTTATTGAACACACCATGTAAACATTCAGATGCAATCTCTTATGGTATCAGGAGAACTGTAACCTTTTCTAAAATGTACACCATTAAATAAAACATTGAAAGTAATTTATACCTGGTGTTAACCTTCGTTCACTAAATGCTTTTTTTCCCTTTAAACGTGTATTTAAGATTTAGCAAATTATATCATAATATGATTCAGACAAGGCAAAGTCAGGGGAAAACTATTCAAAACAACAGAAGAAATAAAAAAACATTTAATTTCTCATTTTCTCTGTATGTTTTCTGTTGACTGGCAGGTGCAAAGCACAACGATTATCAAAATGATTGACAGAACTAAGATGGAGGTGCTCAGTTTCAGGATAAAAATTGTGGATGTCTGCATTTAATCTCCACACCTAATAAATACACATTTGTTAAATATAAGGATAAATAAACATACTAATAAAAATCCAGGGAACTGACAGCTCCCATTTAACATTAAACCCACAAAATGTAATCAATTAAGACATACTCTATCCTTCAAATACTCCAACACATGGAAATGCAGGAAATATTCCTTTCAAGAGGCACACCCTCACAACTTGATTCCCTAAGAATGTATGCAACATCTAGCGGTTTCGGAGCTATACAAGGCAAATTACGGCTGACTATTTCTGGTATTGAGAGATTTAGTATCAATGATTGGACTTTCTCAAAGAGTCCCTGGAATAAACTGTTGATGTGCAGAGTTATTATAGAAAGTAAGTCTTCAAAATAGATGGAGGAGGCCAGGATAGACTTTATCTGTATATTTAATTTGATTACCATAATAGGGATAGCAAAATGCTTGCCCCACAGATGTCATGGACAAGAGCACCTGTTATGCTCAGTCAACTATTTTTTTTTTTTTTTAGGTAAAGCATGCTAGAAACTGAAGTACACGACATCTGGTTGACTATCCATGATATGGTCACAGAGTATCCAGCCAGGCACTTACTGTAATCTCCTCTGTCTGACGCTGTCCTTCTACATGCTCAAGTTCTAAAAAGAAAATAAAATATCCATAGTACTGTATCCAAATATATTAAATGCAAACCAGAGCATCATTCACTCATTCTACAGCAAGGTGGAATGTGGAAAATATTGTTTGTTGATACACAAGACAAGTAGTAAACTGAAGGAAGTCATAAGGAAATATAACTTGTATGAACGACTAGTTTTGACAAGCACACATAGTACAATATGAAGTGTTACAAATTTGAGCAAGAACTAGTAGCCGAAACACTATAAATAAGGTATTGGAACCACAGTGTATATATGAGCATGTAATTTGTTTTGTGTTTATGTTATAGAAGTGATCAGCCAGAAAATTATAACCACCTGCCTAATATAGTGTGGGTCCTCTTGCAGCCAAACAGCTCTGATGCATCAAGGCATGGACTGCACAAGACCTCTGAACAGGCCTGGCACCAAGACATTAGCAACAGATCTTTTAAGACCTGCAAGTTGTTAGGTGGGGCCTCCGTGGATCTGATTTCTAGTTCCAGCATATCACAGAGAAGGTCAATCGGGTTTAGATCTGGGGAATTTGGAGGCCAAGGCAACATCTTGAACTGTTTATCATGTCCCTCAAACCATTCCTGAACAATCTTTGCAGTATGGCAGGGTGCACTATCCTGCTGAAAGAGGCCACTGCTATCAGGGAACACCATTGCCATGAAGGGGTGTTTCTGGTCTGAAACAATCTCTAGGTAGGTGGTACGTGTCAGTGTAACATTCACATGAATGCCAGGACCCAATGTTTACCAGCACAACATTGCCCAGAGCATAACATGTCCACCGGCCTGCCTTCTTCCCATAGTGCATCCTGTTGCCATCCCTTCCTCAGGTAAATGATGCACACGCACCAGACCATCCACCTGACTTAAAAGAAAACGTGATTCATCAGACCGGACAACCATCTTACATTGCTCCATGGTCCAGTACTCACGTTCACGTCCCTATTGAAGGTTATTCTGATGGTGGACAGGGGTCATTATTGGTACTCTAACCGGTCTTCGGCTATTCACTTTGTGTTCTAATACCTTTCTATCATGAACAGCATTATGTTTTTCAGCAATTTGAGCCAAATGCATAAATGAGCCCTCCATGACCTTGATGCCAGTTCTCCTTCCTTGCACCATTTTAATAGATACTAACCACTGAATACTGAGAGCACCCTACAAGATTTGTTGGTTTGGAGATGCTCTGACCAAGTCTTCTAGCCATCACTATTTGGTCATTGTAGTCACTCATATCTTTTTCCTGCATCCAACACATGAAATTCAAGAACTGACTGTTTAAATGCTGCCTCATATATCCAACCATTTGACAGGTGTCGTAACAAAAAAATCTACATTATTTACTTCACTTGTCAATGGTTTTACGGCTGTGGCTGATCAGTGATAGTGATAGTGTATTGAAAAGTCAGTACTCACAACATTACTGGACAACTATTACCTGGTTATTTACCTACAGTTTGCTCTGGATCCTTCCTATCCCAAAAATACAGAAGTCTATTACATAGCCACTGCCAACAATGTAATATTCACAAATCTAAAAACAATTGACGATGTATAAGTATGAAAATGTAACAGGATTGTGTTAAGACATGAATATAGACAGATACATAGATGGGTAGTGTTTTGATTACATTTTTGTAATACCTGAATAATTAAAACACTCAAAATAATGAGATAAAGAAATACGGTACATAAAATAACCTGTAATGGCATTATGTGAAAAATTATGACTGAAAAAAGTATATGATTTTGTAAGAGTGTTTAAAATTATCTTCCTTATTTTTAAGTGTATATGTTTAATGGATTATCCATGTAATGCACTAAACAGAATGCATTAGTTGTCTACAGCTAGATGGCCCCTTTAAATTTGGAAAAGGAAAACTTCTCATTGTTTCTCTGGATATTTCTCAAAACTGTGCTTCCAAATCAGAGATTTAGAGAATCAAACCATTTGTATTAGCATCTTTGTATAAAAGACACTCACCTTTTTCCACACAACGTTCAAAATTTATCGGGTCTTTAGACATACTTGTTTCAATTTGTAATCTTTGTACTGGAAAAAAAAGCAAAAACATCTCTTATAATTGCAAAGAATAAAACCGTGCTCTTGTCTTATAGTCAAAGGTCAGAAGCTGTGAAGAAATAAATAGATTGCAGTGCAAGCTGTGGTAGACGAGATCACAGCTATGTGCACACTTTATTAAGATCTGATCTGGACCACCATCAAAACGGTATTGCTTGAGGAGTGCGGATGACACGTTGTTAACTATCTGAGTGCAGCAGCAAGACGCAATATGCCGGACCCATATGTACCTATATGCTCCAGGAAAAGAGCATGTAATACACTCACCTGGTGAGAACATAAACTGCAGGAATGATTACTTTAAACTAAAATGCTGTGGGGGCATGCACAGATGCAACTTTGCATCAATCAGTCATTAAATATGTGATGACACAAAGGGAATGGAAGCGCAGGGCAAAAAAGTACTAGAGAAAGAAAAACATGGACAACTGGAACAGAGAAGCACAATGGTGGAGAAAGAGTGAAAATCAAAGAAGGAAAAGTAGAGTGCAGCAAAGAGAGGGAATAAGAAAGGGGGAAATTGAATGTGGAGAAAAAGACAAGGTAGCTAGAGTAGAAACAGGAAAAGTGTCTTAACACAAAATTAGAAAATTAAATGTGGATAGAGCAGTTATTTTAATGCCTGTAGATGTCCTTGTACTTACAGAGAAATTATAAGAATGATCTTTTGTCAACTCTTTACATTATCTGTATGTGTGTGTGTTATATGTGTTTCTTGAGATCAAAATGTATATCCCTAACACAGGGCTCGATTTTTAATATTTATGGATAAGCTTTTCAATGGATTTATTTTTTTTAAAAAACACAAATGTTTATCCAAAAATATGAAAACATTTGAAAAAGCTTTTTCAAAAAGATTAAATTGAGGCCTTACGTAGGATCTTTCTATCACATCTGATGAAGCTGCATTGGATAGATCTATTAAGGCAAATGTTATGTACTTGTCAGCTACAGTAATCCAGAAACCAG